GCCCATCCCAGCCTGAGGACCCGGGTGACCCGGGTGCAGGGGCCGGGCCCAACCTGAGCCACGCGCCCGGGCTCTGGGGACGCAGCATCTTCATTTCTTCCAGGACAGAATAAAAATACCCGCGGTGCAGGAGCTGTGCTAGGCGGCGAGGAATGGGGTCAGGACGCGGCGGCGTCTCTGACCCACTTCGCGGGACGGCGAGGAGCTGGGGGACAGAGTCCCGCGGCGAGGAGCTGGGGGACAGAGTCCCGCGGCGAGGAGCTGGGGGACAGAGAGGAAGAGTCCGGAGGGGTGCGGCGGGGACAGGGGTGCAGTGTGGCCGGAGGAGACACTGCCTGGAGAGGTCAAGAGGACCTAAGAGGAAGCCAAGCTCGCCCGGAGGGGAGGCGCACGGCTGCAGTCCCTGCCCTCGGGAGGCTGAGGCAGGAGGATCGCAGATTCCAGACTGGGTAATTTAGCAATTTAGCCAGACTCTGTCTCAAAATTTGAAACTGAAAAAAAGGGCTGGAGATGGGCTCAGTACAGACCCTGAGTTCAATCCCAGTATCAAAAACAAAGCAAATGAACGCTAAAGGCTTCCTAACCCTCAATCCCAAGTCCTCCCTCTTCAGCACCCGAGGGCCTAGAGACGACCTCCTCCAGACCTAAACTCTGGCTCCCTACTATGCGACAGGCAGTTCCTGCCCGTAAACTCTTCCTTCGCTGTTTCCAAACGAAATCTCAGCTCTACGACTCCGCAACGCGATCCACGATTGTGTCGCGGTGAGGCCTCCTGCGCCCTCCAGTGGCCACAGGCTGGGCTACACCACCCGAGCTCGCGGTCCGAGCGCAGGCGCACTGGTCTGCCCTGCCCGGCATCGTGAAGTCGTCTCCAGGGTTCGCTTGCAGCCTGGTCCTGGGGTCCCTAGCCTTGCTCGGCCCTGGGTCCCCTCGATCTAACCTGTAAGGTCCCTTAGAGGGTTCAGGAGGAAACGCAGCTTGGAAATATCCGAAGCAAGCGTCGCAGTTTTTAAACAGGGGACGTACATCCGAATAGCCTGGATCGTTTATTAAACAGATCTCTGGACTCCCTTCCAAATTCTTAATTCTCTGGGCCCGGGAATCTGCTTTCTAACAGACCAGGTGCTGTCGCTGATCCTGGTATTTTGAGAGCCGCCTGCTCTGGATTTTGCAGCTCCTCCATGCTCAAAAGAGTGGTGGGTAAGGAAAAAGTAACATTAAATGTGGGGGGACCAAAAAAAGAAAGAAAACAGTTCAGGAAACGTGAGTGCTTGTAAAAGAAAACTGAGGGGGCACCCGGATTTGAACCGGGGACCTCTTGATCTGCAGTCAAATGCTCTACCACTGAGCTATACCCCCTCTGCCGGTAGCTCGTAGGCGAGAACTCTTTACTTCTGTTTTTGCGCAGGCGTAGTAGCGCGCTCCCAAATAAAGCTGATCCAGTATTCACAAGAAATAGAAAAGAAAGAAGAAACCCTAGGTGACTAGCTTGGAAGACTGGCGGTGCAAAAACTGTGCTCAGAGAGCATGAAGGGGACGACCTTCGAGGTCGCTGTCTTTGGGAGCGTTCCCGCACCCCTCTCCCTTCCGTGGCCTCTCCCCGCCTTCCTCTCCTGCAGTCCTAGCGGGGCCCTTAGCAGCTCAGCCCCTCCCTGAGAGAGCCCGGGGGTCCGTGACCTGAGGTGCTCGCGTCCCCTGCACCCCGCAGTGCATCACGAGTGTCTTCCGCCACCCCCGGAGCTCTGGCCTGCGCTCGCGCTGCACCCTCTCTCCCAGCGCATGTGCACACCTGGAGGGACCGGCAGGTCGGGGTCCCAACCTCAGCAGCCTCCGAAGGTGTGAGTGATGGGTCTCGACGCTCATTGCCCCTGACACACACCCCTGGATCTGGAAGCCAGATCCTAAAATGGGGGTCTGGCGCACCAAAAAAGGCTTAGCTCTGAGAGGGGGCACCCGGATTTGAACCGGGGACCTCTTGATCTGCAGTCAAATGCTCTACCACTGAGCTATACCCCCACTACGTTTCCATACCTTCTTTGGAATGACTTTTCTGTGGAACTGGAGCTTGGCCGTTCTCTCTCTCCTGTGATAGTGAGCTGAGAATTTTGTTAAAAATAATCTGATGCTTCCCAGCACTCGCAAGGCTGAGGCAGGAGGTTTGCTGTGACTTAAAGGCCAACCTGAACTACACAGTGAGACCCTGTCTCAAAAATAAACAAACAAAAACTTAATACAAAAAACATTCAACATATTCAGGGGAGACCGGAATGCTTGCGTTGTTTCCTCAGAACCACGTCTCGGTTCCGGGCCTCTCCTTGCTCAGGAACCCCATGCACGCTCGCGCACCCTGTCCCGGCCTCAATCCTATCTCCTAAGGCCACAGCGCTGCTCCCGGAGTGCAGAAGCACTTGTGGTCTGCTCTGGTCTTGAGCTCTGCCCAGCTGGGGGTCCCTGTCCCCTTCCCCTCGCTCCGGGGTCAGACTGAGCTCGCGGAGCTGTCGGCCCGGCCCGTGGGCCACACAGCCAGTCCCTGAGCCAGGGGGCCTGAGGCAGCCCCTTACCCTATTTCCAAACGTTTTTATTCTGAGAGCTTTGCGCAAAGTTAAGAACCGGACTGACGAACCAGAAATAAGACGCGAACAGTTTGCAATGCTATCTATCGTGCCCTTGTTGTTTTAAACCAATGCAATGCCAAAAATTTTTTAAAAAATCACACAAACACAAAAGAAGAGGGCCCTGTAGGAATCTCGGACCTTTGGGGGTGGGGTTCATGTAGGAAGGACGTTAGGAGCGAAAGAGGTGTCACGGGGATGGGTTTAAACCCCCAAAGCTGTGGTACGAGTCAGCATCTAGGCAAGCACTCTACGCTGAGATGCATCCCAGGCCTATTTGTTTTATTTGAAGGCAAGTTCTTGCTACACTGCTCAGGCTGAGCTCGAATTTAGGATTCTCCTGCCTCGGCTTCGCCCTGGCATTCCCAGGTGCCCTTATTGTGTTTGTTAGACTTCCTCCGAGAGCTGGGTCTTGGTGCCACTCAGGGCTGTCCACAGCACCGCACCTGTGGCAGGTACTGATCTGGAGCCAGATTCTGCTACTGAGGGGTTCTGGTGGCCCAGGCCGACACACACCGACCCTCCACGATCTGCGTGTGGTGGCTTGGACACAGCACGTGTGGTCTCTGGTGGCACTGGGTGAGGAACGGGGAGGTCACGGGGTCTCGGGGCCCCTGCTTGTTGGCGTAGGCCAGGACTAAAGGGTCTTACAGCACCTACTGCATGGGTCCCTGAGTCCTCCCTAGCTCTGTCCCCAGCTGTCCCAGGCCAGGATAAGGCAGAGATGGGACCCCAGCCCAACAGCCACAACCACACCAAAAGGATAGCCACAAGCAACGAGCCTCAATCACAGTCTATACTTTTTTTTTTTTTTTTTTTTTTTTTTGTACTGGGGATAAAACTCTGGTCCTTGTGCTTTCGAGAACCACTGAGCTAAATCCTCAGCCCCACGGTATATTCTTGTACTGTTTGATTTTTTTTTTTCCTTTTCTTTTCTGGTAATATGGATTGAACCCAGGGAACTGCAACCCTAGCCCCCTCTTTTTTTCGAGAGAGGGTCTCACTACGTAGTTGAGGCTGACCTGGATCTCACTATGTAGACCAGACGGGTCTCGAACTCACAGCGATCCTCCTGCCTCAGCCTCACGAGTGCTGGGATTACAGGCGTGCGCCACTACGCCCGGCTTTTTTGGGGGGAGGGGTCTAGCCCTTCTTATTTAGGGTCTCACTAAGTCCCTCGATTCCCCAGCCTGTACTCTTGCGATTTCCTGCCTCAGCCTTCCAGGGTGCTGGGATTGCCAGCGGGCAAATGACGCTCTCTAGTTTTTCAAAACTGGTTTTAAAATCTTGTTCTGAGTAACTGAGGTGTTTCAGGACCCCAAATCCGGAGCGGTGACCCCTCAGACGTGGAAGCTCCAGGGCTGCTCACTCCGATCGGTCCGGACGAAGGTGACAAAGGTGGAGTTGGGACCGCGGCCAGGGTGCGCCGGGAGCGGGGCGGGCGGGGGAGCCCCCCTGGCCGTGCTGAAATCGTGTTCGGGTTAGACGGCGAGAGACAGTGGGAGCGGGGTGCCTGCGGCGTGCGGGATCCCAACGCCAGGCCGAGGCCACTGCAACCCGAGGGTCACACGAGCGTCACCCGCCTCCCCTGGCCACGCCTCTCGGCGGACCGAAAGAGCACTCGTGATTGGCCCCCAGGCCTGTCGGTCCGGAGGGAGGCCCGCCCCCTGGCCGCCCGCCTGGTGGAGGTAGTGGCTTCCCGCGTGGTCTGATCCCACGATGGCGACCTTGGGCCACCCGGGAGCCTCCTGAGGATGCCACGGACATCATTGTGATTACGAGCCCTTGGGGTGCAAGAAACCAGGAGTCCAGACTCTCCACCTGGCCCTGAGAACATTTGGAAGCGTCTCAGGTCTTCTGCCCCCGGAGGCAGGTCTAGGGACGCTCCGCAGGCGCGCGTGGGTAAACCCGAGCCCAGCGCTACCTCTTCCCACAGTTGCGGCGGGCGACACCCGGACCTGAGCGCCGCCACGCCCTCCCGCGCCACCTGTGCGGGACAGAGGGCTCCCTGAGCGGTCAGCATCGCTCAAGGGGGAGGCGACTCCCCCAGTGGGGGTCTTGCGAGCCCACTCGAAGTGGGCTCCCGGGGAGGGTAAGGCTCTCCACTTCTCTTAGAATTATTTTTGTTCTCTTGGGACAGGGTCTCGCTGTGTAGTCCCGGCTGGCCTCAAACTTGTGGCGATCGTCCTGCCTCGGCCTCCCAGGAGCTGGGATTACAGACCTGTGCCACTACGCCTGGCCTGGTTTTTATTTTCTTGAGACAGGATCGGTCTATGTCTCTTGAAACAGAACTCCTAGGCTCAGGTGGTCCTCCTGCATCAGCCTCCCAGGTAACCGGGACCACATGAGCAGTCAGCAGACTCAGCAGAGAAGAACATCGGCCCCAGGAGGCAGAAGAGAGAGAGAGAGCAGGAGATTCTTGCTGCTGTGAATTTCCTTCTTTGTGCTAACTAGGAAAATGTAGAAAACAAAAAGAAGGAAAGGCAGGGTGACCTCGGGCTGCGGGGTGGGAGTGGGGTGTAGAATGAGACCTGGTCACCATGGCAACCACACTGGAGTGCCCAGTGCCGTCATGGCTGTCCTCCCCCTAAAGGAATCAGTCTGCCGCCTCCTCCTCCCCCAACCTAGGATGGGCTCCTCTTCCTCTCAGCTCCACCTGTCTGCTGGCGGTGACAGCCCAGGTTCCTACTGCAGCAGCGTTCAAGGCCACCATGGACAGTCCCCACCTGCCCTTGCAGCTCTGCCTCTGGGACCTGTGTCCACGCTGCCCAGCTGTGCCCCATGGCGTCCACCCTTCTGCTTTCTCTCCAGTCAGAGATCTCGGAGTGGGAGCCTGACCCAGAGCCTGCTTCCCAAAGCCTGGCCTGGCTCTCCGGCCTCACCCAGCCTGTCCACACTGGGGCTGCAGACAGGCCCAGCTGTCCCATCACTTGTGAGTCCCAGTGGTGGGGTTCGCCCCTTGTGCACCCCTCTCCACCTGGTCCCGTGCCTGGTACTCGGTTAGGATGTGCCAATGTTGCAGAGCTGGAATGAGGGCAGTACGGCCTGAGAAGTCACACTTGGGTGCACTCCTAGCACTTGGGAGTCGGAGGCAGGAAGGCTGCAAGTTTGAGACCAACTTGGGCTACACAGGAAGGCTGGCCTGGACTACATAGTGAGACCTTGAGAGAGACGGCCGGGCATGCCCACCTATAATCCCAGCACTCGGGAGGCTGAGGCCGAAGGGTCACCATGAGTTAGAAGCCAGTTTAGACTACATAGGTGAGGACCTCTCTCTCTCAAAAAAAAAAAAAAAAGAGCAAAGAAACAAGAAACATGAGCACAAGCTTAAGAGGGCTGAGGGTTCCTGGGAAGTTTGTGTCTGAAGTGTTAGGGAGTTGCTCACTGAATAACATGTTCATCCGGCCCAGCCTCCAGGACAGAGAAACCTGGGTGGGCAGCTGGTGGGCCGGGCACAGAGGGTGCTGGGAGAGGCAGTGTTGGAACCTCTCTACCTCTGTTTCCCGGGGAGAGGGGACCTCTTCGTGTCCCTCGCCCCACAAGCCCATTGCAGAATGCCAAGTGACACTGTGCAGGCTGGGGACTCACCACAGTGTTCAGGGACCTTCCTTCCTTCCTCCCACAAACATAAAACAGGAAGCACACAAAAATGTGGGCCTGGGCCTTCACAGAGCTCAGTCTAGAGAGGGAGACAAATACAGACCCATGCACACACACACACACTCACACACACACACCTCTGAGAGCTGGGGACAAAGGAGGCTTGAACTCTTCTCCAAGCAGGCGCTCTGTGCTCCTGTGAGGTGCCCCCCTAGGGCCTCCCGCCCCAGGCTTTTCCTGAGACAACACCCCCAGCCCTGCCTCAGCCGGGCCATAGCGGCTGTAGCTCAGCCCACTTGGAGGACAGTGGAGACCTTAGGTCACACCTAGGACCTGTGGCCACTTCTGCTTCTGCTCACCTGCGGCAGAACCCAGCCCAAAGGTGGAAGCAGCTGTCAGGGAGGCAGGTGCAGGAGGGGACCAGGCAGGAGGGGCGGCCTGTGAAACCCTCGGGCTGGCAGCCGCCAGTTTGCTGACTGAGCAGCCCCGTGGGCTGAGGACTTGCAGTTACCAAGAAACAAAACTCTCTCCTATCTCCAGGGTGTACTGGGCCAGAAATGCCCTCCTCCGCCTGCAGGTCCCGGACTAATGTAGCTGCAGGCAGAAAGCACGGGGAAGGAGGCAGAAGTAGCTCAGACACCTGCTTCCTCCTCCCCAGACTCCACCTCGCCAAGGCGAGGTCCTCCAGGGCGGAGGACCAAGTTCTGCGCTTGGGGCACAGGCACCAGAGACCCTGAAATCCAGATAGAAGTTCAAGGCCTTTGCTCTATGGCTATGTGACTCATGTTAGGGATTCAACCTCTCTGAGACTTCTGTAGCCAATAAAATAATTCCTGCCCTTGATTTGAAATGCTGCTGCTGAACATGGACCGGCTTTTGTGTGTGTGTGTGTGGAAACAGGTTCAGTCTGGTTTTGAACTCACTATGTAGCTCAGGCTGGCCTCAAACTTGAGATTCCCGCCTCACCCTCCTGAGTCCTGGAAATCCAAGTTTGCTGCCACCTCACCTGGCCACTTCTTGAGTTCTGTACACCGGCTTCAGGACAAAAAACAAAATCAATGTGACTGCAGGTCCACGTGAGCTGCTCCTGCTGACCTCACGCTGGCCCCACCCAGACAGCCCGTGACCAAGCTTCTAGACCCGCAGTGAGACCTGCCCCCCCAGGAAGCCTCCAGGGACCTCCCTGGGACCAGGAAGGGACCCTTTCTGGCCTCCCACAGCACCCAGCATTGCCTACCCTGGAGATCCCAGGGGCCGTGCTGAAATAAATTCTCTGCTGCTGCCTCCTGACTTGTGCCTGACACACAGGTGGTGCCTAACAAATGTCCCCTCAGTGAACAAACCCGGGGTGGATGACGGAGTCCATGGAAGGGTGGGGGCAGCGCGGGGAGCTCATCACCAGCTTCATTGTGGTCAGCTCACCAGGGGCGTTTCCTCCAGGCACGTCCAGCTCCTCTTCCTTTTTTTTTGTTGTTGTTTTCTGAGACAGGGTCTTGCTATGTCATTCAGGCTGGCCCTGCACCTTGTAGCATGACATACTCCTGCCTCAGCCTCCAGAATGCTGGGATGATAGGCGTGCACCACCACACCTAGCTAAACTGCTCTCTTGCCTTTGATCTAACTCTTCCGCAGGTCCCTGGCGTTTCCCTCCTTCCTCTCTTCCCTCTGTGGGAGCACTCAGGCAGAGGACCTGGACACTGGAGTCCCTCAGAAACGACTCAGTGGCCGAGAAAGCGCGCAGGTGCTCTGTGGTGCTGGGCCAGGGTCCACATCCTGCCAGGTGGCTCTGGTGGTTGTGCCCACCCCCTGCTTTCTCCTCACACCTCTCAGACCGGGGCTGGAGGGATCCCTGATTTTCTCTGCCCTCCTCTCCCCTCTGCTTGTTCTAAAGCTGGGCAGCGCAGGGGTGTTGAGGCCAGAGGAGCAGACCTTACACCAGCGAGCTCGGATGGCAGCCGTCTCACGACACCGTATTGCCAGCACCTAGCTCTGCCTGTGGGCGCCTGGGAAGGTATGGGCAGGCGCACCAGGGTCAGTAGGTGGCACCCCGGGTGCTGTGCGGGAATGGGCACCTGGGCACAGCTTTTTCCTACCCCCGCCCGGGGCAGAGGCTGCTGGGCTGACTACCCGGGCATCAGAAACAAAGACCCGGGCTCATGAGGTGGCCGCAAAGGACAGGACGGCGGTTTTATATGTGGCAAAAGACTTCTGGTGTAGGAGTACAGACGACAGGACAGACAGGGGGGCACGGACACCGGACGGGCTGGCGGGGACTGGGCAGTGGAGTCTTCTAACCAGGAAGAGGAAGCTGCACCACGCCCCAAGGAGGTGCGGCAACATTGGCACAGGAGGTGGGAGACGGGCATGAGGTGCCCATCCATCCCTGAGGCGGGCAGCCGGGCAGGGCCCAGTCCTCGCTGGCACAGTCGGCTCTCTCTGGCCCAGATGGGGTGCTGGGCAGGGGCAGGGCTGCCGGGCTCTGAGGACGTGGGGGCCAAAGACACCCCTGGGGTGAGGGGCCCCGAGGCCTCTCCTGGAGAAAGCGGGCGCGGGAAGGGGCAGGAGTACAAGAGGCGAAAACAGAGAAGCAGCAGCTACGCTCCCCAGGGAGATCCGAGGTCCCCAGCAACCCCCGGGACGGGGTCACCTCTTGGGCACCAAGCAACCCCTGGGGCCTCGGGGTGAAGGTGAAGGAGCCGTTTTTTTGGTTTAGATGAGGTCTCCACCCCCGGGGGCACGGAGAGGGGGGCTCGGATGCAGAGAGCCCCCTGGGCGGATGGCGGCAGGCAGGGGTCTGGGGGCGAAGCTCATTCGTGGGAGGGCGAGAGGCGGAGGCGTGAGGGGTGGGGAGCAGCATCTCCGGGCGCCACCCAGACAGCGAGGGCACGGGCTGCATCTGCGCGGTGATCGTCGTGGACCCCGGACCCCGCCCCAAGCTGTAGCTTTCACGCGCGGACAACGAACGCGCCCGGAGGCGGGCGGGCTGGGGCTGGGGCAGATTCTGCGGCCTCCCCTCCAGGAAAGGCGTCCATCCGCGGGCTGGGGAAGCCGGGCCGCCTGGTGGGACTTTCACTTACAGCCCCGAGTAGATTAGAAGTGCACCTTTTCTCTGGGGCCGGGGAAAATGAGACACTTCGGAGAGGAAATGTCCTCAGCAGGGAAGGAAACCCCACCGCTGGGGCTTGAGGGGCGCCCGGGAGCCGGGCGGGTACCCCAGAAAACCCCAACACCAGCAAAGGCATCTGAAAGGGGCGACAGCGGCCCCCGGAGGCGCAGGCGAGGCCCGCCAAGCAGTGAGCCCCCGCCCTCCCCCCGCGTGCACCCCTCAGCGGATGTAGACGCCCCGGCCCCAGCCCTCCAATTCGTTCTTGTTGCGCCCCAGGACGGGGCCACCGCCCTCGGCGCAGTAGCGGGCCTTGCTCCGGGCCCGGCCGCGATTGTCAGGCAGGTCTTCCCCATAGTCCTCCTCCTCCACGGCCTCCTCCTCCACAGCCTCCTCCTCCTCCTCCCAAGAGCCCTGCTGTACCGGCGGAGTGCCGCCCCCCGCGGGGTCCCCAGGCCCCGGGCCC